AAAGTGGGTGCTGTGCAGCACAGGAGAGGGAACAGCTGTGTCCTCAAATGTGGTGACAATAAATGCAAGGCAGAATGGGCTTGTTACAAAAATGAGGTGAGCAGTACAGTAATAGAATTTGAAGGGGATCCAAGTAAGAAGTGCTTCAAATAGTGGCAAGGACAGGAAAATAATAGAAAGGGTTACAACTGATCAGCAATGTAGACAACTATAATAAACTTCAACTTGGAAACATAAAAGGAGAAATATGATCTTGGATGATATTGGAAAAATAATTTAAAGCAAGATATTCTGTGGGTGGGGAGAGATCTGGGTAAGGTCCAAAGTTTCTGAGTTTAAAAAAGTTTATGAGTTAATGAAGAGAGGGGTGGAACAGCTTGTCTTCCAGCAGAGGCCCAAGAGGCAAAGCATCTCGCCTTTGCTTCTTGCACCATCACGTTTTTTTGGTTGAGGCCCTTGAAAACTTTCTGTGTTTCAAGTGCTCTGTCATGGAATGAGGATTTCCTGGCAAGCACATATGCTCATAAGATGTTCAGCTGCTACAGTGGCACCCCCTAAACCACGAGCTGTCACATATTATTTGGGTGAGTGGTCCCATTTCCGGGGATGCACTTGAGGAAGATCAAACTGAAAGGGATGTTAGAAATGGAGAGGGGGACTGAAGTGATAGTTTTGTGCATTTGCATGGTACCTCATAAACTTGACTCTGTTCTGATCATGTTTTCATCTGCACAGCCGTAAAAGCAGTATTTTGAGGCAAGAAGAGGGGTGAGGCAAAGAATTCAGTGTCCCCAAAATCCCCAGGGAACTGCTTGGGTGGGTAAAGCCTTCTGACGTGCTTTAATTAGCTCCACCACAGTGGGATTCAGAGCTACTTTGGTCATGTCTACGTGTGCTGTGATTCATATCTGCCTTCAGATACAACCCTTCTCAAAATGTGACTTAGGAACTTAATCCCAGTGACTTGCAATAAGAGTTGGCTGGTAGGCAACTCCTCAAATAGGACTTTATGTCCACATTCACTGAAGATGGTCTATATCTCTTGCAGAAATTAGGTGCCAAATTTGCAATGGATTGTGATCACTGTTGTGTTGAGAGAAGAGACAAAATATCTTTAGAAATCTGAACTTAAATGTTGAATGCGAGATAGTCTTCCTCAAAGCCCTCTTAGCTAAAAGACAGAGTACTTAAATTGATCTAAATTCTGATAAATGCAAGGAAATAATTTTGCAGGAGAGCTGAGTGGATGATTCTATGAGATGTTTCTTGGGTTCCACTTAAAAAGTACTTCCTTTCCAAAGTCTGGATGTCTATATGATTTCATGTCTTCTTCCCACAACTAGGTTGAGGATAAGAGCAGGAAAGCATTTTTTCAAATTGCAATTACAGCTTTTCAAGCAAAGCTAGCATCCTCAAGGTAAAAATAGTGCCCTAGCGTGGTAAGCTGGAAGCAAACATTCTCTTAATAAATCTTGGTGGATTATTTTGACTGCAGTTTCCTCTTGAGAGCTGCAGACCTTTCAGATCCCAGCAGACCTTTCATATGAACCCTTTAACCAAGCCACAGAAAGTGACTGTTACCATCATGTCATTATGAAGGATGCTCAGAATCCCCAGACCATTGGAGTATCTCATCTGAAACCAGTGCCTGGGCCTGGTCCAGTCCCTGTGCATCTCTGTCCCCTCTCTGCAGACCTGCAAGGCCAGAGTGGAGAATTCAGGGGCCAAGCCAGGATGAGAGGCTGCCGCCACTGTGGCTGCAGGGCTGTGGAGGGGGAGATGCTGCTGCTGCTGCCTGGTGGGAGGCCCAAGGCTCAGGAGGCAGCTCCTGGGTCTGGGGCCCCTCCGAGGGGATGCTTGCTCTGCTTGGAGGAAAGTGCAGCTTTCACTGCCTCCCTCCCCAATTCCCCTCCTTCTCTCCTTCAGTTTTTCCCCCCTTCCCTGCCTGCTTCTCAGGGCTGCTGCCTTGGGGACCCAGCCTTGGTGAGGGAGGAGGCCAGCTTCCCCAACAAGGCTCCAGGGTAAGTGCAGCTGCCTCTGCAGGATGGAGAGGGGTGACAATGGGATGAGCACACCTATCCTTGGAGGCAAAGCCCAGCTTTCTGGTTTGGGGCTGATATGGCTTGTGGGGCACTGCTGTGAGTGGAGAGGTGTAGGGAAAGGGGAGTGCCACATTTGAGCTCCCCTGCCCTACATGAGGTTTTAAAAATGGTTAACAAGGAGGGCTTTTGCTAAGTTGTCCTTAGGGCAGTCCTTCATTGTGCACACACACACACGAACCCATAGAGGCTTTTCTCACAGGCATCATAGCTGGCCAGAAATTGTCCACAGGAGTTCAAAGAGACATATATCCATGCACCCACCTCTCAGACCCCAAAGTGAATGACAGCTACCCATCCTGCTGTCACCCACACTACTGCAGATCCTCTCTGCTTCCCTGCACTCTTGTGCACCAAATTGGATCCAAACTACTTAGAGCTTAGCCACTTGTACCCAAAGAAATGCTACAAAATGAAAGAGCAAGAGCAATTGGAAGCTCTTTTGCAGCTCCCCCCACTCCTGCATTTTTTTCTTTCTTGTCGAGAGAATTGTTTGCGGGTAGAAGACAGGGATGTTTAAATAGCTCCGCAGATCCATTTAGTAAAGTCAATATGCAATTATGCAAAAGCCTGTGATAATACACCCCCTGATGCAGATAGCAGCGGTCGGAGCTGTCCTGGGGGAACGGCGTGCAGCTGGGAACTCTCGGGACGGGGCTTGCAGGGACCCTGACACGCTGCCCTGCCTCCCCAGCCCACGCAGCCCAGGCACAGCTCGGTGCCCTGCGCCGTCGGGCTGGTGGGGCTGGGGATCCCGGGAACGCCCCGAGCCCCGTCCCGCGCCGTGCTCCCGGGCACAGGGCTTTGCTTCTTATTTTCCTTTGTTTTTCTAATTTATAAAGCCTAATTGACTTGCATTCGATTTTTCCTAGATGGTATCGTTTGCGGGAAACCCCCTCCGAGAGTTCTCAGCCTGCAGAGAGCCCCGGGTTCCTTCCCATCCCACCGGGCTGAATAGCTCCAGACCCCCGCTCTGATGAGTGCCCATCCTCTGCGATCGGCATCAGAGGCACGCCGAGCTAACGCAGTAAATGGGCTCATTAGCCGAGCTGCAGATAGACTTAGGTAATAGGAACGGAGCAATAGTGAAAATTACTTTGGAGGGAAACATCAAATCGAAGAGCTCTGACAAAACTCCGCTTTGCTCTAGTTCAGCCGAGGTACCGTCAGACACAAATATTCAAATCTATGTCGCTTCAAATTGAGGTTTTATGTTGTTAGTCGCTAATTTGCTTCTTGTACAATGTTGCAAGTTTTTTCAGTCTCATTTGAAAGGGTAAAATACTTCGTTCAACTTTTTAGAAGATGTCCTTCGACTTCTTTCGCCAGAGACACGCAATCATTTAATTTCTGGTTTATGTATGCTGAGGAAAGTATCAGTAATACCTTCTTCATTAAAATAAAATAAAATAAAACTAAAAAGATCAGGCAGATTTTTGTTTCCTTCAAAGACAGCAATTTTACCCGCAGAGATGTACTGGGAGCTGAATTTAGCCCACAAGAAGTGGGAAAAGTCTCCAGAATAAAAGAAAAAGTATCGAATATTTTAGGCTAATGTCACCCTCTGTTGAACTCTGGCAAGTGGCTCTGAAGGCAAAGAGCAGTCGGAGCTGGTGTGCCACAAGTGGCAGGAGGATTTGCTTATACCTTCATTTAACCCACTAAAAGAAATCCCCACTATTGTTCGGCTACGTGGGTGTCTCCGTCTTTGTAGGCTACGTGCGGGCATATGTGTGAACTGAGAATAGGCGCTTAGAGATCTTTGCTTTAAAACATTCCTTGGAGTTCACATAGACCACTAGATTTTTATCTGCGTGTCCAGTCGGCTGCTGACACTCTCTGTAAATACGACAAAGACTTTGCATTTCACAGCCCTTCTGCGGCTCTCGCCTCATAAAAGTCAAGGGCTCATGTTAGAAGTTTGGGATTTGGTTTTTTTTTTTTTTTTTTTAAACAACAACAACAACAAAAGCTTTTCCCCCCTCTTTTTTTTTAATCTCTTCTTGCGCTTTGTATTTTTGAGGAGAACATTCCAGGCGCCACGGGAGCGGAGAAGCAAGTGGGCAGGGAGAGGGGAGAGGAGAATTACCCAGCTAGGCTGCATCTGCCCAGGAGGACCCGCTCGGCTCGGGCCGGGCAAAGGTTCGGGAACTTAGAACAGCAACGTCATTGCTTCCTCTAAACCGAGACCAACGCCGGGCCGGCGTAAACTCCGCTCCTGCTGCTCCGCCAAGGACTGGCATCAAAGTGATTGCCTCCGCTGCCCTCCGAGAGCATCATCGGGGTGGGAGCTGCCCGAGCTGGGATCTCCCTCCGCCCGCAGGCTGCAGCCGGCTGGTCGCGGGGGGGAGAAGTTTTTAAACCATTCGCAAATATTTCCCCCATTTTTTTTTTTAATAAAATTCCTCTTTCCTACATATTTAGTTAATGTCCAGCTGCCTCTCACGGGTAAACTCAAACCATCTTCACCATATCATTGCTCCACGGTCTGCAGTCAGTAAAACCCTAAACGCTTAAGAGTGGAGTTTTTATGTAATTATACAGGTGCAGCCTAAGGAAAAAATAAGTGTCTCTGCGACTTTGCTGTCTCGAGTAGCTCTTCTTCTACTGAGGACTTGGGCGTCCCCGACCCCTCCAAATTGCCGAAAACTGGACTTTTCTCTCGCAGAAAATTGGGAAGCGTTCCTGGCTGTAGTTTTCCCGTCTCCCAGTAGACGGCACAACAGCTCAATCCTTGGGATGCAGAGCAGCCCAGCGGCTTTTTTTTTTCTTTTTTTTTCTATTAATTTTTTTTTTTAATTAAGCAGCCACGGTTTTATCCAGCAATTTCTTTTATTGTTATTATTATCTAATTCAACGAGAAGTATAGGAATATCGACAGGAAAGAAAGAGGGTTTGGCATATGCAGGGAATACAGGAGTGCCGGGGGGCGAACGGGCTAAAGGCAGGGATCGTCGCGAACCCCGGCGCGGAGCAGCGTTTCCAAATTAACCCAAATGAACTTGTAGAACCCAAACCGTGCAAGAAAAAACCCTTTCACAACCCCAACACGATGGTGTTACCAGCTCAGGTGTTAGTCTACGGATTTTAGGCTGAAATGTTCTATTTATAATGTGAAGTAGGAAGCGCAAGGCTCAGGTCGGCTCCGCGCTGCCTTGCCCGGGCTACCCCGAGGTGCCACCGCGGGGAAAACCCGGCAGCCGCCGCAACTTTTGTCCCTGAAAGACTCCTTTTGTGTACGGTGCTTTCACTCCAGCCGCCGGCACTGCTGTCACCGTTGAAATCCCGAAAATCCCGGCCAGTAACTCATTTCCCAGTTAATTTTATTTAAGGTGGAAAAAAAAGAAAAAAAAAAAGAAAAAAAAAAAAGATAGCGCTGTTGGAAACTTTTAAGACAACCGTAAATTTTATTAGGAAATATTTTATGAAGCCCTCCATTTAATTGATCAAACCTCTCCATAACTTCTGCAAGCGTCAGGCCCGGCCGTGGGGCAGCGGGCAGCTCCCGTTCCCCGGCCCCGCGGACTCCCGGGGCGCCGGGCGGCCGCGGCAGCCGGGGCCCGAGCTGTGCCGGCGGTGGGCGCAGGGCAGCCCCGGCTGACCTCGGGCTGACTCTCCGCACGGACCCGCCGCTCTTTTGTTTTCTGCATCGGGAGCCAGTAAACAAACCCCCCAAATCCTGGCGCTGCTCTTCATCTGCGCGCTTAAACCCCTCGTTCTTAAACTCCTTTTATCATCACCCGCAGCCCACCCCCCAGCCCGATGTGACCTTTAATAGGCTCGAAACAAGTGCGGGTTTCCCCCCCACCCCCCGTCCCTCTTTCAGCCTTTCCATCAGGCTCTGACTTTTTGGGTATCTCCGCACGTATAGTCCCCCCCTTCCTTATCTGAAGCATTCCTGGATTATCTCCGGGCCGCCTTTCCAATGCTTTCTTCTGCGGTTTCTTGTTTGTTTCGCTCTTCTGGTTGTTCCTATTTCAGTTTTCAAATTTCAGTATTAATGGTGAAAGAGCACACTTGGATGCTAATTCTCCCCCCGTTCCCCCGCCCCCCTCCCCTCCTAAATCCCTGCTAGGAAGGCGGCAGGGAAGCCAGCTAGAAACCATTTGATTGTTCCTAGGTATGACTAATTCTTTCCTTAAGCTGGGAAATTCAGCCTGATTAAAAGCCTCATTTATTATCCGATAAGCAAATGGACCCAGATTCCACCTTGTGGAGGAGGCTTCCTTGCTCCCCAGACGCCTTTTTTTGCCTCAGCTCGGTGGATCCCTTCGCCAAAGGCCCAGCCGCGGTCGGGGGGGGCCGCGCAGCAGCGCGTAGGAGCGCGCAGAGCTCCGCGCTCCGCAGCGAGGCCGCTGCCCGGCCCGCCGCACCCACCAGACTCCCTCGCTCCTTCCTTATTGTTTTTCCCCGTATCCGTATTTCCCCCCGCCCCTCACCCTTTCTACCAGGCGATGGACAAGCTTAAATAGATTCCCGCAAACCAGCAAGTTTTTGGGGGAAACGGAAAAAAAAAAAAAAACCCCAACAAAAAAACCCAAACAGAGTTGCTTTCCTAAAAAGGCGGCTGGGTGAGATGCTGCGCGGGTGCCGCTGCAGCGCAGCGCATCCGCCGCGGCAGGAGTTTACCGGGATAGCGCGGAGTTGGCCGTTTACTTTTTCCCGTTTAATAGATGATTAATTGCTGTCCGGATTAACCCTCTTTTTTTTTTTTTTTTTTTTTTTTTTTCTTCCAGTTTTCTTTCTTTTTTTCTGGCCGGCCTCTCACAGGCGGAGAGGCGAGCTGAGTAGTTCCTCACAGCGAGCCCTAAGAGTAATAACTGTTTGCTAATTGTAAAATCCTTATCCAGGATGAGGTTTGGGCAAACAATTTGTAGGGCTGTAATTACATTGTAAAAGTGTTTCGGGCTGAGTTGCGCTGAATTAAGCTCATAAAGGCCTAGTGGAGACGCTGAAAAAGGGTCTTTTGGGTTTTTTTTTTGTTTGTTTTCTTTTTTTTTTCTTTCATAGTGGGGGGGGGGGGGGGGTGAGAAGAGGAGGAAACGCGTCCCTGGGAGCTGGGTCACAGCCACCCCCTGCAAGGGACCGCTGCGGTGGGGAATGGTTATGGAGCGCCTTTCCCCGGGGAAATCGCCAGAGAAATGAGCCCCACGCGCGTGTCTCGGGTGGGTGGGTGGGGGGCAGTGCATGAAAACGGCTCTTACCTGAGAGGTCTGGATTTCTCTCGCCGGGATAAAAAGCCGGTCCTAGCGGAAAAGGGGCGGGAAGGGGGGGGATCGAAACGCGTTTCCCCGAAGTTTGAGACGTGGCGGCGGGGGCCGAGCTGCTGCCCGCCGCACCCGGCGGTCCGGCAGCAGAGGAGCAGCGTCCCGTCTGTCCCGGGGGATTTACCAGAGGACCCCCCCGTCACTCCCCGTTCCCCCAGCAGCTCAGTCCGCTGTACCGCGGGCTCTCCGTCTCCCGCCCCGCTGCCCGGGCGGAAGATGCGATAGTGTCGGGGCAGCTGACCCCGCAAGCGCCCGCTCGGGGCTCGGCGCAGCCCGGCCCGCAGGTAGGGGAGGAAGGGGCACTGCGAGTTCTCCGCTCCCAGGCCGGGGGCCGGCGGGGCTGCGGGGAGGGATGGCTGTGCTTTTGAACGCAAGGGAGCGGACCCCCGGCTCGGCGGATGGAGGCAGCGGCGGGGGGGATCGCCCCGCGCAGGACAGCGCGCCGGCGAAGCTCGGCGGAGGGGATGGGGATAGGGATGGGGATAAGGACGGGGACGGGCCGCGCCCGGCCCGCCTCCGCCAGCCTCGCCCGGCGGCCGCGCAGGGGCAGAGCGAGCCGGCGCCGGCGAGGAATTAGGAGCGATCCGAGGAGGAGCGAAAAAAAAAAGCCCCCCATCATCATCATCATCATCATAATAACCATAATAAAAGGAGAGCCGGCGCGTTAGAGAGCCTTTTTAATTTTTAATTTTTTCCCCCTCCTTCTCCTCTTCCCTCGATTTAAATTTTTTTTTCTTTTTTTTCTGAATTTTTTTTTTTTTTTTTTTTTTTTTGGGTGAGCGCACTCGAAAATTAACATTCGCGGTGTCCTGCGCGGTGGGAGCACACGCAGCGGATCATCATCAGTCATTCACCACCTTGACAACCTCGCCTGTGATTGACAGCCGGAGTGGCAAAAAGCCATGAGACTTGGTAGTTGGGTTTGAGGGGCACTTTAAAAAAAAAAAAAAAAAAAAAAGGAGAGAGAGAGAGAGAGAAAAAAAAAAACTGATTTGGGGACTTTATATTTGCTTTCGCCCCGCTGCTGTCTTGGAAACGAGAGGGGGAGAGTAAGAGAGAGAGACAGGGAGAGAGGGAAGAAAGAAAGAAAAAAGAAGGAAGGAAGGAGGGAGAGTTGGTTTTTTTTTTCTTCTAAATTTTTTTCTCCTTTTTTAATGCTGAGTTACCGTATCGCATCGCTGAGATCCAGCAAGCCGAAGATTTTACTCGTTTGCTTCCATTGCTGGAGACGCTAAGGGATTTTTGCCTTTTTTTGGGGGTGAGGGGGGGGAACTTCGTGTTTCTTTCTTTTCACACTGGCCTTAAAGAGGATATATTAGAAGTTGAAGTAGGAAGGGAGCAAGCAGGCCGATGGCGCAAAGGGTACGTATGATTAAAAAAAAATGGATTTCAAATGTGAAATAATATTGAAACGTGGCTGACAGAGACGCTGCAAAAAAAGTTTCTTTTTTTTTTTTCTTTTTTTTTTCTCCCCCTCCTTTCTGGAGTAGGGGCACAAAGCGGTGTCCTGCAGCGGGAGGATTTATCAGTTGTACTTGTAGGCTTTAAACCTGTGTATATTGCTGTTTTCTTGATTCTTTTACTCCCCATCCCGGAGCTCTCAGGGAAGAGGCAAGCTTTCTATACATTAATGACATGCAGGCATGTAAGTGAATATGTCCGAGCCTCTGTATTTGTTGGTTTTGTAGCTCTAGTCCTACCAATGTCTTTTTTAATATTACCAGTGCTTGAAATATTTGAATGTGTGCATGTCTTTGAGCATTTTGCTGTGTTAGTGATGATATACCGCTTCACTTTCAGAAGATAAGTTCTGGCTGGGAGTAAGCACAACTTTTTTTTTTTTCCCTTCTTTTGCCTGCTTTTTTACTCAATCCTCTTTATTTTTATTTTATTTTTTAAATGTATTCTGTCCCAAAAGGTGCAGTGCAGAGGGCAAACTCCCCCCACTCTTTTAGAAAGAAAGTGACTTTAATTTGAATTGGAGGTTACCAGCATTCACTGCCATGTGTATTGTTGTTTCTATTTTGGGTGCGATCCCCATTTTTTTTTCTTTTCTTCTAACTACCTCCTAAATTGGAGTTTTGAGAAAAAAAACAAATCAGCTGTAGTCGGGTGAACAGGGATTTGGGGAAGGAGAAAAGCCCTGGAAAGACGTTTTCTTGCCTAATTTGCCTGCCGCCGTCCGAGAACTGGTTGGGAAAGAAAGTTCCTCTGCTGACAACTTGCCTTTTACTCTTTCGGTCCAAGCAAGTGTCAGGGATCTTTAAAAGTGTTTATTCACACCTTCGCTTTTAATAGATGAAAAGTGGCCGTTTCCCCCGCTGCCTGGGAACCGCGGTAGCTTTCGGTCCTTAATCTTTAACAAAGAAAACCCTTAAAAAAAAAAAAAAAAAAAAAAAGGCATTCCCAAAATCCCGAGAGCCCGGGCGAACGTTTCCAGCTTTTCGGCTTTAAAAGTTGTGTTCGCGTGGAATTGCTGGAAACCCGCAAATCGCTCCTTCTCTTTTTTGGTTTTGTTTTGTTTACCGCTGCTGAAGTTTTTGCATCCTCGCTGGGTGAGGTACCTGACTTCTTATCAGCGGGAAAAAGTTTAGCGGAGGGAAATTTGGATTCCGGGAACCGCTTCCATTCACGGGGTGGGTGGGGGGGCGGGGGCTGGAGAACTTTGGGGATGGGGATTGGGGTGGGGTTTTTTCCCCACTTTTATTTATTTTATTATTATTATTACTAATATCGCTGTTGTTGTTGTTGTTTCTCCTCCGCCCCAGACTCGGAGGGCTGCGGGCCGGAGCAGCCCAGCCCCTCTGCTCCCTCCCCAGCGCCGGCGCGGCGGAGCCCGGGCGCGCTCGGGGGGGATCGCGGCTCATCCCCGGGGGGGGGGACAGGGCAGCGGAGCCGCTGCCCCCGCCTCCCCCTGACGCCTCTCTGCTCTCTCTGCCCCGCAGTACGACGAGCTGCCCCACTACGGCGGCATGGAGGGGGTGGGCATCCCCACCACCATGTACGGGGACCCCCACGGCGCCCGCCCCATGCAGCCCGTGCACCACCTGAACCACGGGCCGCCGCTGCACTCGCACCAGTACCCGCACGCCGCCCACGCCAACGCCATGCCCCCCGCCATGGGCGCCTCCGTCAACGACGCCCTCAAGAGAGATAAAGATGCCATCTACGGGTGGGTGCCGCGCAGGGCTCCGCGCAAGCTGCGCGGGATGGAGCGGGGGGCAGCGCGGGGAGGGCAAGGGCGGGATGCGGAGCGCTGCGCGGAAAAGGGCCGCGCTCTTAATTTTGTGTCGGTGCTGTTTTGGGAGGCGGGGGGGGACGGGGTTGGGGTCCCCCCCCGGCACGGGGAGCAGCGTGGGCTCGGGGAAAAAGGAGCTTGCTGGAGGGGCGGCAGATCACCGGGGGAGGAGGAGGAGGAGCAGGCGGAAAATAATATTCCCAGGGCACAACCTGCGCCCGGTGGTAAATCTGTGCACGGAGTTTTGGAGCAGGGAGAGTTTGGAGAGCTTTGCCCAACTTTCCACCTTATTTGTCTTTCCTTGCGCTGAGAGAACTCAAGATCTGCTTCTCTCAAGACTTTTTATTTTTAAATTTTCTTTTAATTTTCTTTTTTTCCCCCCAAATCTTTTATCCGACAGCTTTGAATGTTTCTCAATGTGGCAACTTGTAAAGCAGTTTCTAGGCCGTTGAGATGGGAGCTGACGGGGTTATTACACTGGGCGCAGATGCTTTTAAAATGTATCTGCTCAGCTGGAGTTTGAAGGGAAGTTTAAGGAGCCTTCAAAAATCACTCTCAGGACAGTGAGGAGAAGGGGGAGGAAAATAAAATTCGTAGAGTTCGGTTTCTCTATCGGTTTATCAGAAATCTGAAGGGTTGGTTAAAAGTCGGTGGTGTACGGTACCCAGAGGGGAAAAAAATAGGTATGAAGCCCTGGGAGAAAAAAAAAAAAACAAACTCCCTGTTATAAATATACGTATATATACGTGTGTGTGCGCCCACGCTTATTTATTTATTTAAATTATTAAACGGGCGAGGGAACCAGATGCACACGCTGCCTTTCTCTCGGGGAGGCTTTCCAGGCTGGGATTGCCCAGGAGCACCTGGCTTCCCCCGCGGGTCGGCGGCTGCGGAGCCCCCGGGGGGCGGAGGGCCGGGCAGGCCGGAGGGAGCCAGCCCGGCTTGGCCAGTGGGTCGGAGCTCTGCTGGGTGCGTTTAAGGGCTTTTTCTCCTATCTTTTTTTTTTTTTTTTTTTTTTTTTCATTTTTTTTGGGATTCTTTCTTTTTATGCTTTTCTGTTGGTTTGGGTTTGTTTTTTTCCCCCCTTTCGCTCCCAGCAAGTCCTCCAGCAGAAAGCGGGAATTAAAAGCATGAGAGGCAGAAGTGTATGCCCAGGGATTTTAATTTTTTCCTATTTTTTTTTTTTTTCTTCCTAAAGACAAGGAAAGTTAATTCAAAATGGCTGCTGGAACCGGCTTGGGTTTTATTCTTGGCTTGTCCTAAGGTTGTATTAACAATATCTGTGGCCAGGCAGTGCCGAAAGGCCGGGGAGATGCCGGGCTGCCGGCTGTGGGAAGGGGCCGGGACGCTGCGGGAGGCGGCGGGGGGTGCCGGAGCCCCATCTGTGGGTGCCCCCTTCCCCATGCACGCTGCTGTGGGACTAACTATTGTTGTGTTTGGGGTTTTTTTTTCTTTTTTTTTTTGTTTCGTTATGATATTTTCCCCCCCTCTGTGTGTGTGACTATTGTATTTTCTTTCAGACACCCCCTGTTCCCTCTTTTAGCACTGATTTTTGAGAAATGTGAATTAGCTACATGCACACCCAGGGAGCCCGGGGTAGCGGGAGGCGATGTTTGCTCCTCTGAGTCTTTCAATGAAGACATAGCAGTGTTCGCCAAACAGGTCAGCAAAAAACGGGTTGAAAACAGTAAAAAAAAAAAAAAAAAAAAAAAAAAAAGAGGGAAAAAAAAACGTATCGAGAAAAACAAGTCTCTGTTGAGATAAAGATGCGCGTTTCCCCCTCCCCCCTCTCTTACTGAAAGAGGCATAAAAACCAAAACAGAAAAATCCCCAAAACCCCAACCAAAACAAATCACGAGGAAAAAAAAAATCAGGAAATCTCGGCATTTACTACCCCCCTTGAAAAATGGGTAAAGTGGAGCGGTCTGTGCCCGGCCGGGAGTTTCGCTGCGCGGCTCCCGGGAGCCGGGACGGGCTCTGCCGGGGAAGCTCCATAGGTATTTTTCAGTGTATTTGATTCACTTGCTCAAGTGTTTGGCTGATGTACTAAATCCAGCAGTCAGGGCTTTGCACGGAAGGTTACATAATGGACCCGACAGTGTAATGAAGCAAGAAATAATAACGTCTGCTTTTTCGGCTTCCATATTTCAAATAATTTTTATTATTATTTTTTTCCCCCTTTCTTACATTTAGATCCGAGCAGAGAAACCCCTCTTTTCCTCTAATCCCGAACTGGATAACTTGGTAAGAGTTAACACTTCTTCCTCTCCCCACCCTCCCTTCCCTTCCCATTTATTTATTATTTTTTTTTAAACTTCTGTGTCATCTGGAGAGATGGTTTGGTGGTGCTAAATTGAAAATTTCTCACGTGGATTTTTAAAAATTATAATTGTTACAATGATTACTTTTATATTTACAAGTAAACATGGTGTGGTAATTGCTTGGAAGTAAAAAATCCCATAAGGATATATATAAAGGAAAACCCCATCCAAAGAGGAGCTGGCGGGCTTGATGGTGAGCTTGCCTGCCCAAGAAGAGTGTGGATTTATCTCCACTCTAACCAGCCCCTCCATGCACCTTTTAAGCAGCTCGATGGGAAACAGAGAGGATTACAATCGCTGGAGATGCACCAGTGGCAAATTCACTGAAAATGAGGTCGTTTCTCTCTTTCTTTCCTTCCCCCGTTAAGGATAAATATTTTGCCTCCACTGTAGGAGTCCTGCACCCGCTTTCACAAAGCGAGGAGCCAATGGTGGTGTTTAGAGGGTTGTTTCTTTTTTTTTTAAGAAATGTTTATGATCCGTATAATTCAGTTGCTTCGTTGCAATTGGGATTTTTTTTTTTTTGTTAACTCTAGGTCGCTTCTCGTTAAACAGCGCACAAAGCCACCGCTATTAAATTTTAGTGTTATTGCTATAAATCAAAACAACTTTTTATTTACTAGAGAAAAGTCAAGCTACAAAGTGTGGCCGAGGTGGCTGTGGGAAATATCCTCAAATCCAGGAATGAGATTAATGCTTGTGTTGTTTGTGTCTTTGCAGATGATTCAAGCCATACAAGTATTAAGGTTTCATCTGTTGGAATTAGAGAAGGTAATTTTTGTCTCTCTCTCTCCCTCTACCTTCCCCCCCCCCCCCCCCCCCCTTCTTCCTCCTCCGTTTCAGTACTGCTGAAGTTCAGGCTTCTGGTAAATTTGCATAAATGTCTTTCTTTCTGGTAATTAGTGTCAAGACCAATCTTGGCGTCCATTTCTCTTCGCAGTTTAATTACAATTTCAGCCTCTAAAACCGAGCTCTCGAACGCCCAGGCCTTGTGTTCATTGTAATACTTTGCTGGCTTTGTATAAATAGTTGCAGTTCTGTGGTGCCGCAGATGAGATTCGAAATGGTTAGTTCAGTCAAGCCCCTGAAATTGTGATTAAAAAAAAATAGATACTGTTTTTTCTTGATGATGGTGAAGAAGAGACTTTAGTTGCAGTTAGTTTTAAGGGGGAATTTTTTTTTTTTTTAAGAGCCATCTGCAGGTCAGGCTCAGGTCGTGGATTGTCCTGTAACATTTTGCAGAGACAAAGCAGAGTTGATAGTTCTGTCTGTCTCTTGTTCCTGGGAATATTGTACACCTCCGAGCAGAAGAAAGAGATTGCAGCCTGAGCGCAGGATTTTTTTGTTGGCTGTTTTAGAAATCTTAGGAGGGAGAATGCTAATTTCTAAGCAGGCGGTGTCATCTGAGCTCATGTTAAATTGGAAGTGTGCTCTGGGTTTCCTGAGGATTTTTTACGTGTCATTGATAGCTGGCCTAGAAGAGAATTCCCTTTCTCCTAAAAATAAACATTTTGAGAGGTTTTTAAATAGTTGAAAAGTTTCTCGTGAGCCTCAGTCACTTTATCTAACCATAAGTGTCAGGTTGTTCTCGCTCTACCAAAATGTGTTAAAATCTGCCCATTAATAAAGGCGGCTCAGGTACAAGTCTATCAGAGCAACTGGGGATTTCAGGGCATGGATGCCTATAATGTATTTCAGCCCAGTGCATGTGGATTTTTTTTTAATCCTTTTTTCTATCCTCATACCCCTTTGGAAAGGGTTTATGATGAAATAACTGGATGAAATTAAATAGTTTACCTTAAATGTCACCCATGCAGGTCACCTCTCTAATGGCCACAGCTCCGGGAGCAGATGAATTTAACACGGGTGTTGAATATGTTGTAGCCTGTGAATCATCTTGTCACTGTCAATTTTCTGGGATATCTCTATTTTGCGAGAAAAGAAAGTTATTCCTAATTCTGGATGCGTCTAGAGGTCTCAGGGGGATAATTGCAGTGTGTTTCCCCTATTTAGGACTTTTGATGTCACAGGGGCGAAGGGGGGAGACTGGTTGCACTTGTCAATTTTACTTATGTATTCCTGATTATATTTTCTTCCTTTTTTTCCCCCCTCTCTTCTTTCTTTTTCTATTTTCTTCTTTCTTTTTTTTTTTTTAACCTCTGTAATAATGTAGGTACACGAATTATGTGACAATTTCTGCCACCGGTATATTAGCTGTTTGAAAGGAAAAATGCCTATCGATTTGGTCATAGACGATAGAGAGGGCGGATCAAAATCGGACAGTGAAGACATAACAAGATCAGCAAATCTAACGGATCAGGTATGATCTCGCCAACGTCGCACAACGCTAAAATTTGTATGCAGATCGCTTGCTGGGTCACTACGCCTCCTTTTATTATTTGCATATGATTAAGTCCCTTTTAGATAAATTTCCATCGAAATGAAAATTTTTGAATAATGTGGCTATTATTGCTTCATTAAGGCTTGCTCCCAGATTCGACCTGGTGAGATGAGCTTGTAAAAGCATCGCCTGCAAACTCGACCTGTTTCTTGTCGCTTTTAATTTTTGTCTTTATTTTATTTACCCTTTCCAATAATAGAAGTGGTATCTGTGAATCACTGGCTTCTTGGTAGCTCAGAGAAGGAAGGGCTGGAGTCGTTGACCAAAATAATAATAAAATCCGAGATAGGTGGTCCAGAGAAGACAGAGAGGGTTTGAAATCTAGCAAATACTGGCTATTTTCTTCCCGTCTCTACGGTTCATTAGTCCGTCTTGTCAGTTTTCCTTGGCCGAACGCTTTTAGACTTGAGTGAACATTGCTTTGTGCACGCCTGCCTGCTGCAAACGCGCCCATTTTATTTTACTTAATAGGGAAAAAAAAAGGAGAAAATAAAATGGGATTCAGGTTTTAAATTCTTTTCCTTGATCTTTTAAGTTTTCAAGCCCTCTCTTTAAAAAATAAATATAGTCAAAGCCAAGCCAGCAAAGCCTCGCGTGGCTGTGACGGTTGTCCAGGTTTTGTTTGGGATGGTTCAGACCTTTAATGTCGGCTGCAGCGGGGTGGGAAATGCGGGTGAGCTGAGTGGGGAGAGCTGGCTATCCCCTCTCCCATCCCTCCTCCTTCCACTGGGTGCAGACTGGGGTCCTTGCCTTTTCATGGGAGCACTTGGGGCTAATGCAGAAAGTGCCCAGATCTCAGTTAAGCTCCTGGATGATGGTAGTGACTGAGATTTGGCTTTTACTCGAGTTGGGTGAAACGGTGGGGTTTTCGCGGTCTGTTTGTTTGCTCTGAACCGAGGGGTAGCAGCGCTTTGCCTGTGAGAGAGGGGACCTCAAGCACACGCGTGAAAAAGAAATCCCTGGTGAAACCCCTCAAGTTATTTCTTCTTTTTGATCAGCTATGTAAATATAGTGTTAGGAGTGATCTGCTCCTGACTCTGGAGGTTTCCTTTTGTTCAAGCAAGGCGCAGCCAAGCAGACAGGAGTTTCCTCAGCTGCTTTGCTGTTATCACTGGCACTGTCAGCTGGGAGTTATTTTATAGATTACCGACATAAAGGTGTGTTGCATTGCAGTGTGGGCAGTATCTGAAATATTTTCTCCTATCTGCCAAAGGCTGTGGGTTTGTGACAGGGGAGGCAGGCTTGAAGGAAGGCATGAACTTTTAGAAAGGGGTTTATGTGCACATAGGTAGGTCGTTTTGAAGGGTTTTTTTTGATTTTGCTGTACAGGGGAAAAGCTTGGCAGAGTGGATGGAGGGTGGTGTGGCAGGGTGGTGTGGCAGCATCCTCACCACCCGGGGCTGGTGAGGATGCTCCCAGGAATCGCCAGCCCCATGCAGTGCCTTAGAGCGAGGGAAGCCCTCCTGCCAGGGTCTAGCTGAGGGAAGCTCGGCTCGCTGATGTTGAATAAAAATTGTAATCCAACAAGTCTAACTAGAAAATGGGTTTCTAAAAGCTCTGGAGTGCTGGGTACATAAAGCTATTTGAGCAAATTACAAGAATTGCTCAGGGGCACGAATGAAATCAACACTTTAATTGCCTCCAAAATGAAGATTTATACCCCATTTTCCCAACGAATCATTATTTTATTAAAGTGAAAGCTAAAGAAATAGAGCTGCAGTTTTGGGGTTGTTGGGGGTCGGTGTGTTTCTCCACCACCCCGCGCCCCCCGTTTTGTTGCCCGGAGCGCGGACGCTGCGCCGTGCCCTCTCCCGCTGCGCGGGCCCGGCCCCGGCAAGCCCGGCTTGTGCGAGCGCTGCCCCGGGGCGCTGCGGGCAGCGGGGCGCGCAGCCCCCACCTACCCCTCCGCGCCCGCGGAGCTGCGCGGGGAGCGGGGCTTTGCTTCCCACGTTGAAGGGGAGAGGTGCAAAAGTGCGCTTTTCCCCCCTCCCCTTCCCCGGGCGATGGGGCGGCGGATGAAGCCCGCGGAGATCGGGGTGTTTACCCGGGGATGCGCAATCCCCCGCGCCCTCCGGTAAACTCCGGTGCCGAAGCCGGCCCCGGCGCGGCCGGCAGTATCGGGGCCCTAATGGTTCAATAATAAGGTGTTGAGTGCTGGTCGCCGGGGCGGCTAATTAGGATGTGACTGCGCAGGGCGCGTTTATGGCTGCGCGGCCGTGGGATGCGCGGGCGCGCAGGGCCGGGCGGTGGGAGCGAGGGGCTGGCTCCGGGCGTGGGGCCCCCCGCCTGCCCACGGCTCTGCTTGGAGAGTAGTAAAAGAGTAAGTATGTAAAAGCTTTTATTATGGATTTAATTACATTTTCTTATATTGTGGTAGTAAAGGTTACAGTTAACAGGGTGTTTTTTTCTTTTAATTTATTGGTTTCCCCTTATTTATTCTTTCCCTAAAGGCCCCTCAAAGGCAGTGCCTTTAAGTCCCCCCGGTTAATAGAAAGCAATGACACTAATGCTAGATTTTGCAAAGTAAAGCCCTATAACACTAACCATTGTTCAGTGATTTAACCAGCTCAGTGGCACTAGGTCACTAAAATAGCATCCTTCTCCCACGGGCTCGACCCCACTGCCTGCCAGGGTGAGACCTGCAGAGTTGGTGTTTACCGTCACAGCTGCACAAGTACGAGGCAGGAGTCCGGGCTTTTTGCTGGGGAGAGTTGAACTCAAAATCATCCAGACCCCGGGACTTAAAAAAACCTAGCTGAAGAATTGAAGTCATCCTCAAAAGTTTCAAAATAAACCTTTTTTAATCATTAGCTTTTCAAACATTTGCATGTTTAAATTTTCAGTGTTTGTCAGAGCCCAGAAAGATTTAGAACACAGCTGTTCTGTGATGTGTCTGGGAAAACTCCCTCTGATTAAAAAAAAAAAAGCCCAAAGACTGCCTGTAGTCTGACAAGAGAAATTCAGTTTCGTAGGTAATCCTGAACTATTACTGTGGGGCTGCTTTTTTGAAACCACATCACCTTGGCACCCAGGTGCTCTAGTCCAAACTGTAAAATTCTCCTACTAGACTACAAGAAAACCTTTAGAAAGTTCTTTAAGGAAAACATGGTACAAAGTACCCACCACATTCAAGTAAAATGTGTTAGCTGTGTAAGATAGATTTTATAGGGACAAAACAGTATTGTTCTTACTGAAAATAAACTTGTTGAGCCTGTCCACAGTAGCATTGCTTGACAAAAATTGCGATTTAATAATGCACAAGCCAATTACAGATGCAGAAACTTTTAAAGGCAAATCGGCGAAGAGCCAAATTCCTATAGGAACTATGAGGGAAATGATCAAAAAATGAACATGAAATAAGACTTCCTGCAAGAAGGTCCATAATTCAACATTATTTGACTCCACTGTCAGGGAAATTGTTGAAGGATAGTAAACCGATACTGGAGTCTCAGTCATTTTTGTTACAGTCTTAAATGTTTGCAACTGTGACATTTTAGATGGCCCTTCTTGGGTGATAATATATCACATATATACACAGGTATATAATAAAGCAACACCTCTATTTATGTTGCAATAGATTTTATTTTAATGTGTGCAGTTGTGGAGTTGCTGTAACAAAAATGCAGATAGACAGCACCTTTTTTTTTAATGGAACAATTACTTAAAATATGTTCTTTACAAAGAAAGAATCATAAACTGGAATCCAATATAAAACATAGCTGAAAGTGGTAGAGTTGTTCAGGGCATCGACCGGTTACAACTAGACTTAACTTTCCAAATTCTGAAATATATTAGCTCTACCTTGTAGCCAATACAACAATAGTGCCTTAGGGAAAAAATTACTGAGAAATACTATTTTACTTTGGGACTTCTTCACAGGTACTTTCAAACCATATATGATTTTAAAGAGGAGAGCTAAAAATATTGCTGCCTTTAGTATATGTGCTCCCATATTGGAGGAACAGGCATCAAAATAATAGATGTGGTGCAGAGGGTGCAAGGTAGAATTCATTTCTGCATAATAAAAGAGTTACAGCAAAGTACGACTCTGAGGATGACCAATAAAATAATGCTTAAAAGACTCAAAATTTAATTTTCTTCCTCTGACTGTCACTTTGAGCCAGTGAATCCTTTTTTGTTTGTTTTCGAGTAATATTTATTATTTTTCGCTGTGATATTTAGAAGCTGTTACCATGTCCCAGTTTGGCAGGCTATTTATGTGAAGATAGCATACGTTAATTTCTGTTCCAGACATGTTTTCATCTGATACACTGTGGCTGAAATTGTATTAGCAAAATAAGATTTTCTTTGCTCTCCATTTCTTTAAGTGAGTAAATACATTGTTGCGTAGACATAAGATTGAATATATGTTCTTTAGTTTATGATTTCAGTTAATGAATCCTTGGGGTTCTTTTTTGTTTTTTAATCATTCAAGATCCCAAAAGGGGCCATCCTTACAGCTGGGTGCCTTCCTGAAGTTGCATGCTCAGGCATAATTTCCATGTAAAGTTTTCCATACTGAAGTTAGCTCTTGTTGTAAAGGATAGTTTAATTCCTGGATTTTTGGGGGAATTCTTTTAACATCAGGCCTGACAGAGCTGAGTTTAAAGCCCAGTTAACCTCAGAATTGATCCTAAACATTTGCAAGTGTATCCCAAGGCATTCCTGTAAGCCAGAGCTCGCCGTGTCTGCATTAGGGACTGTAGATTGTTATTTTGGGGCAACTTGGAGGCTTGAAAGTTATGAAAAAATGAGTTTTACCTTAAGTTTAACCTTTATGGCTGAGGGTTTGAGTTTTTCTATGGCTGCTGGTCCGCAGGTAGCAATAAAGGTAATGGGCTCTGCATGAAGAAGGGTTACTGCAGCCCCGCATGGGCAATGTTAGACCTTGAAAAAATCAGATTATATTGCTCTCAATC